GGGAAACTCATAGATCAAGTTGTTCTATAATGTGGAGGAGACTTATTGTTGAAAGAGAAAAAAGCCATGATGAATCAATGACTTGGATTTTTTAACTTCTAGCGCAATTTTATAAACCATCAAATGTGCATTGTTAAGATTTAGACATTTATGCTACGGTTTAACATCCATGATCAAAGAATTTGATGGCATTTACTAAAAAATATCAAATTTTACGTGGTTGTATATAGATTTAGACTTAATATTAGATTTTGCTACTTAAGATCTATGTATTTTTCAATATTTACATGCAGTTTTAAGGGTTTAACCTTCCATGTTACTCCTTCATTGTCAAAACATTCACGTGAATAATTTTAGACGTCTTTTTAAAAAATACATCAATGAAAAGTAAGATTTACTTAATGGAAAAAACATTAGTGACAATAACATTGAAACGGAAAATCTATGCCAAAGATATCAAGTTTCACGCAACAAAACATTAACAAGTAAGGTTTACTTATGCCAATTGTTGTAACAACAAAACTCCTCATACTTTATCATGTGTAATATATAAAAATTAGGTGTTTGTTAATTGAAATAAGTAATTGATTTTGTGTTGAGCGATTAATTATCCAAATACAATTTTAAAATGTTGTATTTGTAATGTGGAATGGGCGGATACTGCACTAGTTAATTATAAACTTTGATAAAAATAAAATTCATTCAAGAAAGAAAACTCTCTTTTCTGGCAAGTCCGGAATCTTTTTGTGTATTATACTTCCGGCATGTCCGGATCCCGACAGTGTTCGGATGTTAGATCTTTTCAACTTTGGTTGGATTTAGTAAGTTTGGTTTGTTTTCAGATCCTTCCTTGGGTGATTAATGCATCTCCATTTGTGTCTTTGGTCGGATCTTTTCTCACCGATTGCATGAGTCTCTTTTTCCAGACCAGAGAATCAATCTTTGCCTCCCAACGATTGGGCGTTTAGGAAAAGTATCTCTAAGGGATTGAATGGGGGTTGGATTTTCCGACGAGGATGAAACTGAAGGTCTTGGAGGAATGGATCTAAGGGGTGATTCGATTGATGCACCTCGTTAAAGAAGGAGATATGAAGCTCTGTTCGCGAAGAAGATCCGGTTGGTTCCCGGTGACGGTGACGAAGCTTTCCGGCAGTGCATATCGGCGTCTCCAGCATCTTCCCCGCGTGGGGTCTCGAATTAGGTTTAATGAACACGTGTCCTTTAAGATATACAGGTATTTGTGTTATGTTTTACTTATCGGGCCTTATCATTTGTAATCACCCAGCCCATTTGGGCTTTAATGAAAAGTAATGTGTGACGACAAAATTTTTTGTTTTATAAAGTTTGATAAATAAAGATAACATCTAAAATATCAATGGTG